ATGGTACAAATGATGTGGGAGCTCTGAAACATGCTCACATAGGTAAGATTTATCAGCTATAATTGAGTTAGCATTTATGACACCAGCAGATTGCAATGATTACTTTTTTTCCTCCTCCCTCAGGTGTTGCACTATTAGCCAATGCCCCTGAGCGCATGCCTGAAAAAAAGAAACGTGGAAGAGAAAAGGAGTCATCTACATCAGAAACCAGACCTTTACCACCTGTCACTTCAGGAGGCAAACTGAGCTCAAGGGCCGCCAGACAACGGGTGATGGCCCAGAGAGAAGAGCAGCTTGCAGCACAAAAAGTGTGTAACTGTAATTTGCTTAAACTCCAATGACTCTTCTTGAAACCAATTTATATTCATTAGTCTACTGAATGTAGCACGCTAGTCTGTCCTGCTAGTCTATTCTGCTCTGTAATTACCTATCTTTCTAGGGGTAATTTAAAAAAATGTTATTCCTAGAAAAGGTCATTAACTTGGCTTTTACTTGAGTAATAAGAGTTGTAGTACACTGGTGTTAATATCAGGGTTTTTCTGGAACAGGAGAGGATCAGTCAAGTCCTGCGTGAACTTGAAGAGGATCAGGTACAAGTAGTGAAGCTAGGTGATGCCTCCATTGCTGCTCCCTTCACCTCAAAACTCTCTTCCATACAGTGCAGTAAGTTACACAACCTTTTAATTTTATTTCTTTTCATAATCTACACCGATCAAACCATAATGATGCTTCCCATTTCTAAAACTTGTTATTTTGTGTTTGGCCACAGTCTGCCATGTAATAAAGCAAGGCCGTTGCACTCTGGTAACAACACTCCAGATGTTCAAGATCCTTGCTCTCAATGCTCTAGTGCTAGCCTACAGTCAGTCTGTCCTCTACCTCGAGGGAGTGAAGTTCAGTGATTTCCAAGCAACTCTGCAAGGTCTCCTTTTGGCTGGATGCTTCCTTTTCATCTCTAGGTCAAAGGTGAGAATATTTACCTAATGTTTTTCTTCTACCATAACATCTGTTCACCGTTTTCAATTACAGTCAAACTAAGAACCTCTTTTCCTCTTTGTCTAGCCACTGAAAACACTGTCTCGAGAGCGGCCCTTACCAAACATCTTCAATCTATATACAGTTTTGACTGTGCTCCTGCAGTTTGCTGTTCACTTCTGCAGTCTTGTTTACCTTTACAAAGAGGCACAAAGTAGAAGTCCGCCCAGGTAAATCAAATTTGGACAGAAAGGGACAACAGGACAAAAAATGAATGAACAAATAAATAAAATCACTTCTGCTTTTATGGTTAATTGTTTACATTGTTAGTATTGTTCAGATATGGTTTTAACTTTCATTCTTTCACAGATAAATTTCAGATGTAATGGACTAGATTATAGATGTTTTTTCTCTCTCCAAAATCAGCCAAGACTGAGTGTCCTATCAGTAGTCAGCAGCAGTTTATGTAAATAAAATAATTTGAAGTTGATTTAAAAAAAAAAATATGAATGGCATTTCAACATCAAATATTCATTAAGTACTAACATTTTCTTAGGCTCTTCAGATATTGAAGTTTTTTTACTTAAACTGGGAAAATCATTCGAGTTACTTTACTTTTTGCTTTCCTATCTGCATGTTATACAACTGGATATAAAATGTTTTTAATTTGTCTTTAAATGTCTTATTGCATAGGTCTCCTAAAGAGCTTCCAAATTTTAGTAACTTGTTCCTTTATATGTGTTCTTTGTACAATTCCAAAGACAAAAAATGTGCTTGCTGTAAGGGCCACAGGCCTCTTAAATGACTTGACTGAGGATCTCTTTTGCCTTTTAAATGCAAAGGCAAAAGAAGAATTAAACCAGGAATTTACCATCCTGGTTTAACCTGCTTCTAATTTGTTTCTAATTTTTACCTGATTACATTACCTAATTTATTTAATGTTATAGTTTTGTATAGTTGTTTAATTTTTTAGATTTTAATTGTGTCCTCTCATTTGCAGAGCGGAGCAGTTTGTAGATCTGTATAAAGAGTTTGAACCAAGTCTAATTAACAGCACCGTGTACATCATGTCAATGGCCATGCAGATGGCCACCTTTGCCATTAACTACAAGGTATTTATCCTTAGTATTAATATTTGTTATTGCTGCATCTTTAAAGCGTTTATATAGAAGACTCAAAGCATTTGTCTTTGTGCGTGTTAGGGTCACCCCTTCATGGAGTCTCTTGGCGAGAATCGACCTCTACTGTGGAGTATCGCTTTGTCAGGTTTAGCAATTGTCGGACTTCTTACTGGATCCTCACCAGAATTCAATGAACAGTTTGCTCTTGTAGATATTCCAACTGAGGTGAGCTGACATTGTTTTACTATGCATTGTTTTGTTTTAATATCCTCATAATAATTATATACCTCCTGATTAACCTGTCTTCTTCTTCTTGCAGTTCAAATTCATCATTGCCCAGGTTCTGGTGGTGGACTTTGTTGCTGCTCTGCTGGTGGACCGTGTCTTGCAGTTCCTGCTGGGCAAAGGAACTCTCAGGCTGCCTTCTTAAACTTGGTGCCAACAGCAACCACTGCCTTTACCAACCAAACTGTAAAGGGAGAGATGATGTTGGAAGAGGAAGAGAATGAAAAGCTGTTGTGAAAAATACGGGACAGCTGAGACAGTCATGGCGTACAATACTGCACACTGTGTATCGCTTCCTATGTCCTGCTCTGCCCTCCTCCTTAACCATCTGTGTTTCTGTATTTTCATCAAGTCTATGTTTGAATTGTTTTCATTCTTTTCCTCATGACTCATTTTTTTTCCAACATTTCTCTCTTTCCTTATCTGTTGCTCACCACTGTTACAAAACGCCATGAAGACAGCAGTATTGAGTGGAGTGTGAGATTGTGCCAGCCAGAGTGAAACACACAGGCACAAAAAGGGGCATTCTCCAAGAGAATTGGGAAAGTGTTTTGGATTTTTTTGATTCCCCTCCTTGATTTTGTAAAAAGTGGAAACATCTTTAACAGACTTATAAAGACTTAATACAAATTATGAAGTCTGCCACGTGTTTTGTCAAGGTTGACCATGTCCAACTGGTCATGAAAAACCCTGTTCCTTAAGATAGGTAAGTAAAGCGTGGTCAGGGACTTGTAGTACAATGTAAATGTACAAAGAAGGTTATTATTGAAAGCGTTTATCTCATGGGACTTGTGACACTGGCCAAAAAAAAAAGTGCCATTTCACCTAGCTTCAGGTTATCAGAGATGCCTGAGAGCTCATGAACTCTTTGTTTACTTGCTGACTGATCTAACAAACATGTCGGTCATAGAAGCACACCGTATATAATCTTTGAGCAAAGTAAAGCATCTTAAACAAACCACCATTCTCAAAAAGATTAGGGAGAATTTGGATTTCAGTGTGGATCAAGAAGTGTACCAATTACTTTTTACCTTTACTGGGCCATAAAATCTAAAATGTGCTTATATACTCAGACAGTGTCAAGAATAGACAATGGGAAAGGTTTCAATAATTTTCTGAGAAGTTGGCTTTAGCTTTTCATTAGCTGCCAGAGCTAATTTTCTGCTTTACTAATGAAAAGACAGATGGAGTGACAGATTTAAACACAGTTAGTGGTAATTTTCCTCATTGTCAAAGTTTCACAGTTAACATGTATATTAAGTCCTAAATAACTGTATTTGTGTTTCTTAAACTTGCTGATTGGGGGAACATTTTAGCCCTTTGAAATGTAACAAATAGTTCCACTATTTTTTGAAAAGGTCATTTTAAAAAAAGTGAAAAAAATCTTTTGAAATGGTTGAACTTGATTATCACTTGAATTTTTAACATTTCACACTGTTTTGTATATGGATGGTGCATACAATTTTATATATTTTTGATACATATGTACACTTGACATGAAGGTGACTTGGCAGCTATGAACACATTCCAACCAGGGGCCAGTGAACCTTAAACTCTGCTGTAAACAAATGAAGAGAAAAGAAAGGCTTTCACTGCAACTCTCTAATTTTGACACTATGATAGAGATAGAGATTGATTTTTAGAAAGATTACTAGGATGTGAATATACAGATTTGAATGACCAGTAGGGGAATGCTGGATCCATTATGGTAAAAATTAATTGCAATGAAAAGAGCAAGCACAGAAACTGAAACCTTAACAGGAAAATCTAAAAGTGACATGCAATGTATCATCATAGGTTAGTGGTCCGCTAAAAAGCTTGGGTAAGTGTTTGTGCATGATTGGACAAAGGGAGCACATGAATGACAAGATCTGTGCAAGAGAGGTGGTTGCAATATTAATCACTTATACTCCAATTTAAGTAGGTGGTTTCTGACATAGAGGAGAATTTTTGGCGTAAATGTCCCAGCAAGAGCTGATTGTTATCCATAGTTATTACTTAACAAAATTAAATGTACTACAGAGTGCTTTTGACAAATAACAAGGGTTTAACTTAAAACTAAAATTGCCAGCAGTCAGGAAATACCATAAAGGCCTAAAATTCAGAGGTCACAAAACACCAGAAAATCATCAGATAATCCAAAAGAAATTCAACCAGGTTTTACAAAAAAGACTATGGAGCTGATCATTTACATTGGGCAACCCCAGTAGGTCGAGCTTGATCCAAGGAGGGGTCAGAACTTGTATCCTGAATTTCTACATGTCATTACATTAGGCATATTGTGGAGCCACATATTTTACTTCACTGTGATATTCAATATGTAAAAAAGTGACACATCTCTTCGGGAATATGCAAACTACATGTCCTGTGTCTTGTGTTCTACACACAGCCTTTGCACATCCCGTGCACCACACGGCTCCTAATAACCTTACAAAGTTAAACACTTTTCCCGAAAACCATCATATCTCTATTCAAAAGTCAATGTCTGTAACTACACTGAAAATAAAGGTGGACTGCTTTGTCAACTATGTTTAAATGCTTCGAGGGCATTGGCCGCGATCTCGTTTGTATATGTTAATGCCAAACTACATTTCCCATGCTGCTTAGTTCCCTGGAGGGGTGTGGTCTTTTGGGCGCGCTGGGTGAACAACTATTTGAAAGAAAAATGGCGGAAAAGGATTTTGAAGTTGGTCAAGACGGGTACGTATCTTGCTTTATAAAGGCAAACGCAAGCAGTTTATTATAAACAGGAGTTGATGAATTAAGTATTTTTTTCTTAAAGGCTTATGGCTGACAGAGGTTTGTTGAACGAAAATCACTGTAGTTTGCCGTTGCTTAGCAAAGTAAAGTTTTCAGCGATACGTAATAGTATTTTTTTTTTATCCTAATGTATATTATTAATATTTTTGCATATGTGTCGTTGTCTTTTAATTTCGCAAAATATTCTTACAGTTGCGGAAGTGTCGCCTTAGCTGACAGCCAGCGTGAGGTAAGGCATTTTAACTTACATTTAAGCTAACAACGTCACTCGTGCTAAATATAATGTTTTTCCAATCTATGTTTACCAAGGCCAACCCAGGGAAACAGTCTTCGAAAAGATGCTCTCCCACAAGTCCCGGTACATCTCCCCCACCCAAGTCTCCCCGTACCGACATGATATCACCCACAACAGAGACGCCAGATGTGGCAAAAGGGCAACCAGACATAGACGTCCAAGAGGTTCAGCCAGAAAATAGTGATGAGCATACAGGTTCCTCTGTGAGCCCTACTGCACACAGGAAATCCTGGAGGAGGTCTACTATAAGCCGAAGATCTCTCCCTGCACTTCCCAATCCATATCAGGGTGAGATGTGAGGCTTTATGCCCATTGTGAAGTATGGTCATGGAGTGGTTTTTTTCTTCTTCCTCCTCCATTCCCCCCCCTGCAATATAAACATTTATCTATGTGTTTACGACAGCTTTGTGTGGAAACATAAGTACATCCTTATCACACCATGAGAGGCTCGTGAAATTAATGGAGGCTTCGATGAAGGTATGATCTTAAGAACATTAGCTATAACAAACTGAAAATTTAAATAACTAGGGGCAATGTCATAATGTTCATCTCACTGTTAAAGCTTGTGTGTGTGGTTTTAAACGTACCGCACATTTAGAAAATTGACTGAATAAATGGAGAAATACCCATTTGTGTAAAATCATTCAGCTACAATCACAGTTAACTGGAAAGATCTTGGTTGCATTACTTTAGTGGAGCACATGTAGTGAATTGCCAAGATTCCTCAAGGTTATCCACCTAATCATCTGTTTTATCCCTAGTTGGCAATAGGAAGAACTCAAAATCAGCTTCAGTCAGTGCCAGATGCCTCATTGGAGACTTTTCAAAAACAAGGTTGGTGTTCATTTGATATACATTGGATTTGAGGCTCTTTATTGTATGATACAGAAATACTCTGTTTATTTTCCTGGCCTTTCTTTGCATAGTTGAGCACATCCAGAAAGAGTGCGGTTGCCTGGCCGATAGCATACACAATGAAACACATCAACAACCTTCTAGTGCAGCCAGGTATTGTAGTTGTAATTTATGTATCCAGTAATTCACATGGATTATAATTTTTTTCTTTCTTCCAGACTTACTGATTATTTTCTAGTGTTTGTTTGTTTTTACCTCCGTTTGCTTTTAGATCTAGTAACCCCGCAGTGCAAAAAGCCATGGAGAAATACCAAAGAGCCATTAACAGGCATGTTGTTCTTATTAACTTTATGCCCTTATATCCATTTAAAGAAATTACCAGTCAGCCACATGGTATTCATTAAAGCAACATAAATTTTTTTCAACTAACTCTTGTGTTTTAGGCTTCAGGCTGAAAGCGAATCTTGGGAGACACTGCTGAACAAACACAGAAACAAAGCAAAGGAACTGGAAATGTGAATATATTTGTTCTTATTGAAGAATTACTATATCACTGACTCCATTAATGTGCCATTATTGTCTTCTCAAAACTTTCTTGGTAATCTGCTCCTTTATTCATTTCAGGAAGGTGGAGAATGGCCAGGAGACGGGTGTATCACTAGAGTCTATGTCAGTGGCCCAGTCCTCACAGCACCTTTTCATACAGAGTAAACCTGACTACCAGGCTGTCCTGTGTAAACAACAACCCCTACTTCACACCATGTCCATGATTGTATGTTGGATTTTTTTTTTTATTTTTTTTTTTTTAAATCATCATCACTAGAAAACTTGAAAGCAATGTGAGCTACACATCTTTGATTAACCAGAGTACTTGTGCTAGCTTTTGGGCACTTAACATCTAAGTTACAAACTTTAACTCTTATTGCTGCTTATATTTTAGTGTGATTATTTGTGATTTATCCCTGGCATAATTTTAAGAGCATATACATGAACAGTCAAATAGGAAGAGGATCAAATCAAATAAAAACCCCTTAACTTCAGAACTATATTAATCTGTTTTGCAAATGCTATGCAATGAGGTTTTGTTTTTTTCTTCTTCTTCTTCTTTGCCTGTAGATGGACACACAATGTAAGATGGTTAGAGAGCTTCTGTCCATCAAAACACACTCTCAGTTATTGGTGAAAGAAACTAGTGGCCGGCTGGGTAATAGTTTTGTCATTATTTTTTTTAGCATGCAACTGTTTAGGCATATTCAACAAGGGTTTAATGAACTGACTGACCAATATGATTTCTTTTTCTACCAGCGGCAAAGGCTGGATTTCAGGATCTGTCATCTGACGTGCTCAGGAATCTTATGACAGCACCTTTATCCTCTGCAACTTCATAAGGAAGGAAATCATTAGCAGTCTGGCTTCTGGTGGACTATGGCTTTGTTTGGCTTATATATTATGCTTGTATGTGTCTCTGTTAATTTGACCAGTATGTGATTTTCTTGATTTGATGTCTTGTTTCATGACATAGTCAACTCCAATGTCAAATAAGGCTGTTTCAGTCAGAAGTAGAAATGGTGATGGGCGTTGTTCAGGTAATGCTTGTGCTTGACCAGCAGATGGCAGTAGCTGGCTATATAAAGTTGTGATAAGCTTGGTAAATCGCCAGCGCGGTTTTTCCCGTCAAGGTTTAATTAAGTACGTTCTCACCTGTAAAAACCGGTGACTGGTAAGACTGGCAGATAATAAAAAGTTGTTTGTGAAAGATTGTCACAATCCTGCAAAATAAAGGTTACTGCTTGTTCATCAATTTAAAAAAAAAAAAACTGCAAGAAATCCACACATCCAGGAGCTGATGACCTGTCTGAGGTGATTTGTATCAAAGTCAAAAACTAATATTGTATTTATTGAGTGAAAAGTAATGGGGTGCATTTGATGTGACAGCTTTTGAAGTGGTTTGACTATTACTATATACTATAATTATTCTCACCAATGATAACCGAAAGAATTTGGTAAGTACACATGGTCAGTATAGTATAAATGATGTCAGTAAACTATGCAGAAATGAAATACATTAGCAGCTTGAATTGACTTGTACTACTGGAAAACCGCAAGCGATTGAATACAGGTGGATTTTCATTTGGGATTATTCAGGGTTCATATGCTCATCCTCAGTCACATTTGCTCTCCTTTCGGTGCCGCATCTATTTCACTTCATCAGTGTCCCCTGACCATTCAGGAGGAGGCCCCTCCCCCACAGTGACTCACCCCCATCTCTTGCGTTTGGCTTGGTCACTGATGCAGAACGAAGCTTTGACATTGTACCAGTCAGTCAAAGCTTTGTTCGCTGTCTCTCCAATGTCTTGGACTCATTTACTCATTAATGTTCATGCTTAATTTGCTTCTCTGATGACTACAGCAAGAAATCCCCCCGCCGCCCTTTTGCCAGCATTAAATAAGAGTAAATTACTTCCTCTGCTTTGCAGTTGTGATCTCAAACATGGAGTATGGTGAATTTTCCATCTAAATGTATTCAGGAGAGTGATGCTTGTCCCTGTGCTCTCTAGCATAGGAACAAGCAAAGAGAAGACAAGTGGGGTTGTGACCGTGAGAGCTGTGAGTAAGGGAGGACGGTGCACAGCAGGAGAGATCGATTCTTATTTAGATGAAAATGAGGCTTGATGCTTGTGGGGTGAGAGGAGGGCAGCTTTAGCATCCAAATGAATAGAAGTTTCACAGAAATGATCCTTAAACGAATCACCAACAATAAAACAACCAAAGTTTACAGAGCCAATGACAGCCTTTTTACTGTCAAGGGAGGTCTCTTGACAGTGACGGAAAATGACTTTAGGGGCCAGTTACTTAAAATTGTATGATACACTGCTGCTTTAAAAACAAACAAACAAACAAAAGAAACTTCAATAACTGGCATGTTAGAAGCGTTTGATTTTGGTGCAATGTCTATTTAAATAATAGGTACTTTAGAGTGTCTTCTTCTACAGGTTTCCTTCTTGTTCTTAGACTATTATTAGACTATTATTAGAAGCGACAAAAAAAGTTCATTGACCTGTTTTATATTTGTTATGTAGTTTAAACCCAAATGTTTATATGGTTGGAGGTGTGGTTGTATCAAACAGAAAAATACAACTTTGTAAGAACTGCACTGTGTACAGTCACTGTGTATAACACCTGAACCACGACTTGTACCGCCTGCACATGCAAAGACCAATTACTGTGTAGGTTTACTGTATATTCTATTCTTGTTGTCTCTAACTTTAGATTGATTAGCTACAGATTGTAGTAGATGGATGGTTGGAGAGTCAGCATAAACCACTGCCAGTTTGCTCTATACTCCCTCATGTACACCCATCATCTCTTCTCAGTATAGCAAGGCTGGGTGCAACTCTCCTCCACATCCATTCAGTCAGCCATTCGTCTTGGAAAGCTGTCTCTCTGATCTGAGTGATAAACTACAGCAGAATTGCCCAGTTTGCAAAAAACAAGGACACTTGTTTTCAATCTGCTGTCAACATTTTCATACTGAAAACTGATGGGTTGTTTCATTCATAGGGGGTTCGGGACAGGCGATATTTTAAGCCTGGGCTGTTCTGCTTTGGGATTTAATATTGCAAGTGAAATTGGCATATATATGCGTACATAAAGTTAATTGACTTTTAGGTACGCCTTAATACAGTGTGTGACACCACACACGAGGAACAAATCATTCCTTTAATATACTTCACTTACTCATGGGCAAGAATAGACTGTGCCTTTTTAGTAGCATGCACCAGCATACTTTGCACTTGGTCCAACAAATATAACATGGCACAGTCACTGAGGCGGTAACACCTTATTTATTTGTTTTATTTACAGTGTTTGTTTTATATATATATATATATATATATATATACATCAATACGCCATCCCTGACATTTAAATGTGCGTGATTTTACCCGATATCACTGAGGGAGACAAAAAGCTTTAACCAATTACAATAGAACAAGCAGTTCTGGTGACGTAAGGGGCTATCAATTTGTAAAGGTCGTGCACGAGATGAGCTTGGTCACCTGAAGGAATAATCCAGTTCTAGTATCTGGAAGCATGTGCTTTAAATGTAATGTGGCAGTGTAGTGAGGTTATCTATATCATTAGCTTTCGTTCCTGTTGTACTATATGGGCTGCTAATGGACCCACCCGCTAGCTCGCACTCTGTGGTGCTATGAGTTTAATGGTCAAGGCGACTCACACCACTCGCGCAGATAAGAACATCCCACGTACTCGCGCGACATCAACAACAATGGCAAACCGTAGTCTGTTTTGATAGGAGATTTCGGATTGGAGCTACATGATCTGAAACTCTATTAATCCCGTTTTGTTTTTTCTTGAATTGGTGGATTTTATTTTTAATACCCGCGTGTCCGTCCGTGCTTTTATTTTTTCGCTTTACATTTTTTCCGACAATGTGCGAGACGCTGTTGGCAAGCTCACACAGTCTGTGCATGTGTGTCCCCGCTGCTGCTTTTCTGCTGGGCTACAGCTACTAACCTAGCTGCTTTTCAGTCGGTGGTTAGCTAACTTTAGCCTGGCCGCGTTTATTGACTGGAGGGGGGAAAAGACAAACGAATGTAAAGCGTATTTGTATAGTCTGTTTTATGACAACAGCCCCCAATTATTTGCTGATCGTCACTGTCGGTACCGTAAGCGGTGTTGTATGATTTGTCGTAGAAAATACTTTGCTGGCTAGCTAATAGGCTAGCTATTTGTGTGTATTCTTCGACGGAGGAAAACGGCGAGTTTCCTTTGAAAGTATGGATGACCAGACCAGGATGATGACGGGTCTCACCGGACTAGGTGGACTAGCACAAGCCGATGTTGGTGACCCAGACTCGGTCAGAAAACAACAGTCCCTCGGTCAGCCTCAACAAGACATAGGGGATATCCTACAGCAAATAATGGCCATCACTGACGAAAGCCTGGACGAAGCACAGGCCAGGTAAGACAACCGAAGAGCCATTTTCCACACATGATAGCTAAGCTAAAGTGAGTTGTATGTCTTCGTTTTTAGGTTTATTTGTTTGTGTGAAACATTCACGTAAGGTAATGCGTAATTGCAACATTAATGCAACTTCACGTTACAGTGTATTTTGCAGCTAAAGCAGTAACGTTAAAGTACATTTAGAATATCTCTCGAATAGTCTCATTACAGTGTTGTAGTTTGTTAGAAGCTCTTTGTTACTTCAGATTGGCTTTTTTGTTTTGTTTTTTCAAACTGTAGTTTGTATACATGCCCATATGGTTAAAATAACGTTAGGGGGCTATCGTTAATCTTAACTAGGTAATCAATGAAGTATCAGATTTAAGAACTACCCCATTTCTGGGTCAGTCGTTGCCGTTTAAAACGCACACATAGACACTTTGGTGCAGCCTTACCTGTACTTTCGTTGTATGGAAAAAAATGTTTTAAAATAACTTGAAATATACTTTGTAATAACTTTATATGTTTATATATAAAAACCCTCTGCCCACTGCATCTTAGGAAAATTTATGAATCGATGGCGCAGAATTATCAAAAGTAAAAATGCTTTTTAAGATGGTGGATTTTTTGCAAGTTGCCATAGTTAAGTGTAATTATGTCTTCTGGTTATGATGCCAAATCTTTTGTGCATTTTAAACATTACTATTCTAAATTAGATTAGAATAATTATCAGTATGTATCTGAAATGTTGTTTACATCAAATTAGTGTCAGTAAAATTGGGTATTGAAGTGCAAATGAGTGGATAAATTAAGGTAAAGGATTAGTCAATTTTACAGACTAGCCAAGTGCCGTCTGTGACAGCAATTACTCATTGAAATGATGCATCAAATGATGTTTGTGTTAGAGGTATCTTTTTAAGCATGATTCCTATAGAAATGGTGCGTTGCACTGAGTGACTGACCCACACTCATTTGCCATGTGGCTTGAGGAGCACAAGGTCAGTTTCAAAAGAAGCGTCAGTATTTCAACAATAGGCAATCGTCCACTGCAACACTGTGGCCACAGTGTGATGTGTCATTAGCTAGTGATTTTCCACCCAACATTTGACCACCTGGTTCTCTTAATTAATTCACTCCTCTTTCACTCCCTCCCTCCCTGGTGTTCATCCTTTTCATTGTGTGCTGGGTGCAATCAATTCTCCTATAATGTGTACGCGAGTGCAGCTGTCCGCAAATCGAGTTTCTATTAATGAGATGGTGGTGAGGGGGAGGGATGATGCTGTACTGGCAGCCTATGATCATTGGGATATTACCTTTCTTCACTAAAAGTTTGAAGACTTAATTGGGCTTCACTTCATTAATTCAAACATTTTTACATTCGTTTTTCCTTTTTAAGGTTTTTTTTTCCCCTTCCTACTTTGTTTCTTCAACTTAGAATTTTTGTTGAAATTTTAAAAAGGTTGAGTCATTCTCTGTAAGATAATGTCTATAATGAGTATTTGTATTTAAAAGGCCAAATATAGTGTTGGAAATCATGTAACACAATTATTTTGAGGTGTTAACAGGGTTTTCTGAAAAATAAATTAAAGGTGTGGCTGCTTGCGGAAGTGCCAGAGGTGTCCCTGCCTGTGTGCTTGTATTGATCTAAACTCCTGCTAATAACAGTCTGGCGTTTCTGAGGATAAAACACCTTCAGAACATGCTCAACATTAACTGACAGTCTTGCTTGCAGTTAGTCTGTATTTGTTTGGCTGTTTTCTATTTTACATCTCACGTAACAGACTAAAACATAATCAGATTCAGGCTAACACAGACCATGTTGATACACATAGATTTGTTAATACAAAGCAGATGCCATGGCTGTTATCAACATAATTCTTAACTTTGAAAAAGTTTGCCACCCACACATCTATCATTCCTTCAGTTATGATCCACTAATTACTGAGGGGGCTCGCATGTGATCATGACGTCCCTGTCATGCAGGGTGGCAGTGTGTTGGGATGGGGAGTGGCCAGGGCAGTGCAAGAACTCGGTGTTGCAGAGTACACTTCCTGCGCACCATCCACCCTCATCCTCTCACCCTGTCGCCATATGTTCAGATACTGGCCAGAGGAATCGCCGGCGCATTGGGGTGGATCAGACGACCCCACAGAGGGAGGGAGAGCAGGGGGGGGCATGGCAGGGGGTGGCCTGCCACTCAACTTCCAGCACAGGTCAGTACAGGACCGCATGAGCACCCCCTTCTCCCCCTCGTGCTCATACCCACCATGCTGAAGGCAGCCCTCCCCCCAACTCAAATCCAGCAGTGACTGAATTGGTGGATAAAATTACACATTTAGTGCTAGACACATACCTTACACATATAACAGCTTGCACAGTGGGTGCACTATTTTCTAGTCCCCTCATTAATACTGCAGTGAAGATTCACAACTGGAATTGGTGTTGAGGTCAGGTGTAGCCAAATCATATTCATATGTGGTTGTTTTGAATGTGTCATCAGTGATGTTGTATGGAAAGAAATGCTTTATTTCTTTATTATAAGGAGGATCATAATTCATTCTCATTATTAACAGACTTCATGTTGACTTTGCTGTTTATCACCTAAATTAACTGTATATTGCTCATGTAATTGCATATCAACATTGTTGCTATTTAAACCCATTTTTACTATAAATGGTAACTGTGGTGATTTGTGGAACTCCCCATTGAACACATCCAAATGGATTTATTAATTTATAGGTCAAATCTTTAAAAATACACAGGGTGCACAAATTTACAGCCATTATTCCAAGATAATTAAATATTGCAAGAGCACTGAGGGGGGCATTAAGAACACCTCCATGACCATCTCAACTTGATTAACAGGGCACAGTAGTCTATTGCATGCTTACTGTAATTAACATGTTTTTGTTAATTACAGATGCGTGGGGAAAAGAATACAAACTTTTGAACTATAGCTCCATATTTGCTCAGCAACTAACAGACTCACTCTTTCTGTACACTAATTGTACACTGCCAGTAAAAGAGTTTAGATATGAAACAATGGTGTGAAGTCATTTAGGGTCGTAGTAGGATCAGGGCTTTTCTCCATCCTTGCAGTTTTTAATGAGCTGTATGGGTGTGTGTATGGGTGCATGGATGTTTTTTGGCAGGAAATTCTGTTGCTGAGGTGTTGTGATTATTTGATTACATTGAAGTGTAGAAGTTTTGCCTTATCTCATTTAATTGCCGTTAGCCTGTCTGGCAATAAAGAGAATGCCTCAGATTAAATTAAAATTGCATTTTAATCCTAGTCATCTCTATCAACTCACTGTCTACTATCATGGAACAAGTATTTCTCTAAGAGGAAGAAATTAGATTAGTGTGTATTAACTCTGAAATCTGGTGCTCAGTAATGATGACCTTGAGGTTTGGCATCATTACCTGCCCCATAGTGCAAAGCATTCAAATGACAACATTACTCTTGCTAGTTCGGATTGATGCATCAGGAATGTTTTTTGCACCGACAAATGCATTTGGCTACTGAAAATACCTTTAAACAATATGACTTTGTCCCGCTGAGTTGCATGGCATTCTTGAAATGCTCTATTCATAATACATACAGCTCCTCTACCTGTTTTATAGAGGAGGACATGGAATGACTTGAGATGGAGGTCTGTTTATTGTAATCCTCCTCGCTCTCTCCCCCTCTTATTCCCTCTTCTCTTTTACAGGAAGCATGCCCTGAACTGTCACAGAATGAAGCCAGCCCTCTTCAGTGTTCTCTGTGAGATCAAAGAGAAGACGGGTAAGTTTCTACTTCACTCCTTACTGTGTTCTCCACTCTGCACAAATTGTAGCAGTGTTGAGATATAGTGCATCTTTTCCAGATTCCCCAGCACCAAGTTATTGTTATAATGGTGCCACACACAACTGTATTGATAGTATTTATTGTCAGGTATTAAACACACATTGTGTGTGTGTTATGTGTGCTTTAGTGTTGTATGTTCCGGCCTTGTATTTACAGTTTCTTCAACCTATTTTTGGCTACCGTCCAGACTTTGCTCTGACCAGCTGAAACTATTCTTAGTGGATTAGTGCCTTTGAAACTTGAGTCCTGCAGAACCTTTTGCAGAACATGCTAACAACTGTTATCTTACTTATTGGACTGTAACTTGGTTACCACGTTTCATCTGTGGCAACACAGTCATCGTTTTACATTTTGGTAAGTTCCCAGATGATAAACATTTGGGACAAAAAATGGTCTCAGTTGATTTGATGTCAACAATGTTTGTTATATTAAGGCATGGAAAACACCTACAACTACTACTAGTACAAACCACTATATTGCGTTTAAATAATCAAACCTGTTCCAGATAGAAAGCTTATGCACAGCTGTTCAGAAGCCGGCAGATATGAAAAACTTCACAGGGGTTATTGCTTTACAGTCAAATTGTTATGCCGTTTCAGTACAAAGATTTTCTTCTCTACACCACTATATAAAAACTGCTACACCACACAGTGTAGGGTAATTGTATATTTGGAATAAATTGCTATGCATATAAATGCAGTACCCTTACCCAAACACAACATTAAAAAGCTACTACTGTGACACCATCTTAACAAATAATGCTGACTTTAAAATACACATAATCTGATGCAAATTATTACCTACGTATATGTGTATTCAAAGTAAACACGCTGCTTATTCTCATCTTGTTAGCTATTCCAGTCAGCTATCTGACAGATTTTAGTGTCGTTCAAAGGAGGAGGCCAGGGATGGATGGCAGATTGATGGTTATGTTAGTTTGAATGGTGTGGGTTTTCGAATCTTCTCCCCCTGACTCTCTCTGTCAGTTTCTCTCCCTTCGTGTGTTCTGCATGCTTTTCTCTCTGTCTCTGTCTTTGTGTATCTTTTAACTGTAAGCCTCTGTTGTTCAAATACAATTTGAAAATGCTGCACTGCTGCCTGTTGTGGCCCTCTGTCAATAATGTATTATTGCTCTCCAGTGATTGGAGAAAAGTAAAGGCTAGGCTTGAGTGAGTGGGGCAGGGTACACTGTTTCCCAGGCAACCAGTGGTCTTATTTACCCTAATGCCATTCACTTTGATTTTCACATTTAGTCTCCCTGCAAACTACAGAGAGGGTCTGTGAGTACTTGTACAGTAAACTGAGCAGAAAAACAGACCAAGGAATAAGGGTAGGTTAACAATAGATTAATGCTTGAGGTGAATATGGCAGCAAAGAGATAGAGATCTGTGGCTTTGCCTGTACTCTGCTGGCCATCTGCCACAAAGTGCCCTCCTAACTGCACTGTGTACCTGCGTTGGCATTTCACTGCTACTCAGACCCCCTGTAGGCCCCATTGTCTGCCTCTGGAATGTGAATTGACTTCTCTTCATTGCAGCTTGTGAAAGACTCAGTCAGTAGTCCTTTAGTATCTCCACTGATTTTTCTACAGTGTTTTCTTGCTAACAAACATAGACTTGAGCTGGCACACCCGCATACACACTCTGTCTCCCTTGCACATATACTCGCACACCAAAGAGGGATAAAAGCGAACTCAGTCTTGGGTCTACTCCTACTGCCTCGGTCTTGTCCTCTCCCCCTCCCGCTCTCTGCCTCGCTCCCATTCTTGAAAGAGAAGACTTGCTCTGAACTCGGGGCTTTGATATGGTAATGTAATGGTGGTGGTGGAGGAGGGGAGGTGGGGCATGGGGGATGGGAGGTGAATTCCTTTGAGTGCTGCAGTTGGTTAGATTGTTTTCATTGTAAAGGAAATGTTCTGCGCAAATGCCAGTATCCCCCACCCTCCCACTGCCACCACCCCAAAACACCCCTCATTTTCAACAGTGCATGCGTTGTCCTGAGCTCTCACATTAAACATGACCTCCGTCTGTGTGAAATTTGATTCTTGTTAATACTTTTTTAAAGATACACTTAAAAAAAAGAAATTAAAGCACTTTGAAAGAGACTAGAAATTATCAAAGTTGAGAACCAGTGGCTTTGCTTCAACTCAGTTCTGTTCCCCCTTGCTCTCATGGGTATTTGCTGTAAAAATAGCTCTTGGTGCAATGGGACAGCTTATGCCAAAATCTCTCACAAGCTACTGCAGTTCACTCTCAGAAGTTTTTTTTTTTTTCTTTTTCTTTTTTTTTTTTAAATTCAGTTCGGGCATGTTTCAGGCATTTCTCCTCACTTTTATGCATTCCTTGTGCTTTACACATGACAACAGTGAATCTGTCACTCACTCTGTTTTGATAACCTTCTCAAGTCCCTGTTTTTCAAGCATGAACATTCACGTTGTTTATTTTTGGAAATGTTTTAAATGAAAACAAAAATAGAGTTTCAAGTGAAATTTGAGCTGTATAGTTTTTAGGCTTGGAGACAACACAGCGGTATAATGAGCCTCTCCCTCCTCCCACTCACTTGGACAAGTTCACACTCCAACACTTGCCACTCTTGTTGATAAGCTGTCTGATAAACAACTCTGTGGCATAGTGCCATGAGTTAGTTTGCCACCATTTATAAGCAGCTAACTACAGTCCTACCTGGCTAAGACTGAAATTGCTGGCCCCTAATTGTTGCCCTTAATTGATGTGAATCATATGCAAGTATCTATTATCAAATCTTATGGGCCATCAATCCTTTCAGCAACAACAAAAAGGATTTAACATCAAGTTTGTTAGCCAGTGTGATGCTAACCTGAGCCGGATACTCTGGTATGTGCCCAGTTGTGCCAGTATTCAAACAATGCGTTATGGGAACCGGTTTAACTCTGCCACATTTCCAATCCATTTTCCTGCACATTTAAAAAAAAAACAACAACTTTTTAGTCACTCCGTTTTTAGAATAGAAGAGTCTTAATTTTCAGGCATTTTATAACTCATGCCCATGTTTATAATTATTGTTGTTGTTTCCAGAGCTCTTAAGGTATTTAATAAACTGTTAAAGTAGTTCATGCCTTATCTTTTACCTATAACTTATAATGACACACCAGTGCAGCACGTATTGTCTTTGTACTACAAGCTTGTAGTAACTTCTATTCGCATCAGAATAGAAGTTACTACAACCTTGTAGTACAAAGACAATACGTGCTGCACTGGTGTGTCAGTCAGTCTCAGTCAGTCATCGGGCAAGAGTCCTTATTGAGTTCATTAATTAAATTATTACCTTCAGTTTATTTGCATTATTCAAGGTACTTCTTTGCATTACAATGTCATTTCACAATCCAAATGGACCCACTGACATATTAAGTGAATTACGACCTGTTTGTTGTTGTTGTAAAAACACTAAAACGACACGAGTAAATGTCGCACATAGTTGTTACACGTTTATTTGCCACCGGGCTAAACACCTTATAAACTTGAGAAATCTAACTTTAATTTTAAAAACTTTTTGTTTTGGACCTGGCCATGCATAAAATCTAACAACAAAATGTCACACAGTGGTTTACTCAAGTTGGTAATATTCCCATCTTTTGTAAAGGAAAATCCCTTTTAGAACCACATGAATGATTTATATGTTTGTATTCTACAGACTGAGTACAGTTCTTCAAAGTCTAGTGAATACCATGCCTCATTAAAGAGACTTAATTATTATTAGTTTTCAGAGAGCCCATTTTTGAACAGCCATAACATTTTATGTGTTGTTAGAAACCTGAGGGAAGCATTTCATTATTTTTTATGAGGAGAAGCATGCAATCTTTTAAACTCAAAAGCATTAAGAAGATAAGAAATTGATTGTGACTAAAATGTAATGTAGGTGAAACTACCAAATTTACATTTTCAGTTCTATCATCTGTGCAATCTGAAAAGAGAATAGGTGAACTTCTTTCTCACTTGATCAAAAAAAAAAATCAGTGATTTCTCTTTTAAAAAGTCTGTTTCATAGTTACATTCACTATGCATTAGTACAGGACTATTAGATGGGCTTTTCAGGAATCTGCTTTGATTTGTGTTGTCCTGCCACTCAATTGTTTTTTTTTCTTTGCCTGGCTCATTTGCAGAAAAGGATGAAAAAAGATAAGGATGTGTGTTGAGGGGGTGCAGGAGCGATACAGGGAGATTGATGAGGCAGTAAGAGAAGGAGTAATTACTTGGTGTCCATTCCCCAAGCCAGATTGGCAGACGGCTAATATCACACAGACCCCTGGCCCTGACAGACACCCCCACCCCACACGCACATAGCCTAACTCTAACTGGGAAGTCAGAGCTCTCCAACCTTCAGCAGAGGCCTAATGGTGTGCGGGCCAATGGACTTCTCAGTGTATGTTTTCTTTTCTTTTCTTTTTTCCCCCTGAAGGCCCTTCTGACAGAGTTGTCACCAATGGGAGTGGTTTCTCTTTGGTGGAAATGAGAATTTTCTCTAGTGGATGTACCCCTTTTTTCTGGGTTGGGTGTGCTTTGTTGTTTTGTTTTAATAACACAATTTACACATTATGGCCAGAACAGTGGGTTTATTGGAAAAGTTGAGACCATTGGACAACACAGATTAAGCATTTCGCCAAATGCTTCGCTGTTAAGACTACTATGTTTAGTTTGTTTTTGTTTGAAGCAAGATAACCCGTAGAACTGTTACTGAAACGAAACACTTGTAATTACTTACATATTGGTAACAGGCCGTGCTAGTTCCCAGAATCAGTTTTATGCCAAACAAGGTAACCCATCAGTGTTTGTTGAGGATCATTAACAGGGAAGTCTCCTACCTCTCATCTGCCCTCCCTCTCAGCATGCCTGCGCCTTACTTTTCTTTTAGGGTTTGCTCTTAAAGGAAGCCGGCATCTCTTTAATTAAAGATATGTAAAT